TTTCAGAGTATTCACGAAAACCATTTAAATTTTGTGTGACCTTTAGGCTGTGACTGCATGTGTTTACTGAAGCTGGTCCGTTTGAACGCCCCCCTCCCACCTCCTCTCAGAGCAAACAGAAACCAGAACTACTGAGAGTCGGACCCAAACAACCCAGTCCAGGGTTCAGATGTGGATCTCCCCCATGTTGTTCTCAGATCTCCCAGTTTTGGCTCCGCCTTTGATCCCGTTCATCCCCGCCTTTCGTCCCTGCAGCTCCAARTCCAGGTTGACGTAGTTCTGGATCATCTCGTCCCGGTTCCTCATGTCCTTCTTGTCAGAAGTGAGCGGGGTCACAGGGGTCACGGTGTAGTCCTGCCTCGTGGAAACGCACTCCCTCGCAGCTTTCACGCACAGGTACAGCAGCTCTGCCACGCTGAGGGCCAGCGAGACCACGGCCGCCACCAGCATGAACCAGATGATGACGGACTTCTCGGTGGGCCGGGACAGGAAGCAATCCACCTTGTGGGGGCAGGGGAAGCGGGTGCAGACGTAGCGAGGCTCCAGGGTGAAGCCGTAAAGAAAATACTGACCAGCGATGAACAGAGCTTCCAGAACGATCTTTGCCACGAGGTGCAGGACGTAACTACGAAGGAGGCGGCCGCGTAGGTTGACCTTCCCGTTGGTTTTAGTGTACTTTGGGATCTTTAAGGTCCTGAGCAGGAGGCTGGCTTCGTCATCAAGCTCTGCCTGGTTATTCATCCTCTCCATCATCTGGGTTCAGAAAAACAAGCCAGAGTCAGTTTCACTACAACACAACTGTCAGGCACCAAAGTCTTCACTTCGGATGTTATCATCCATTAAATGGACGTTATTAGCCGTTATCAGTCCCATAGAATGGCTTCAGACTGTCAGCTGGTTAATGCGAGGCATAAAGCCACTAAGGTTAGTTTTAGAGAAAATGACATGGGCTACGATAAAGTAGCCAGACTCGGATGTTACACCATATTTTGTGACCATCATATACAGTGACCAGAGGGGGCGCTGTTGYGTTTCTACAACAGAACTTGTCCGATAATAGCCACAAAGAAGAAAATGATACGCCAAACAGTGTAACCCAGAGGYCACAAAATGTGACAACTGTTGTCATATTTTGTGACTTCACTGTAGCTTGGTAAATAGTAAAAATTTATATTCATAAACTGATTCTACTCATTGTTATTACAACTACTATTATTACTACTATACATGATAATAGCTATCATATTATGTGAACCTGTACTAATTTAATAACCGTCACCATGTCAGTGATCAAAAGTTATTTTTCTGACACTAGAGGATGTAATTAGTACAAATAGTTTTTGAATAAATTTTTTTTACAATTTCCTTATCTACAGTGAAGTCACAATATATGACAGCTGTCATATTCTGGGACCATGTTTTTGTTTTTTTTCTTCGTATTGAGGTGTAGAAACCACGCCTTCTGGTTGAAGTGGAAATGCTGTTGCTCAATGAAGGACTCTGAAAACAGGTTGGTTGAACAGCAAGAACCTTTATTTTGCAGTTCAGGAGATTTCAGCCTAAAAAAACCAAATTGTGACCTCCAAGCCAAATGATTCACCAAGTAAGAAAGATGGAGAACGAAGGCAAAGAACAGGGGCGTACAAGGATCCTTATAGTTTTCACAGATGTACCACAAATCTTGTCACGATATACCTTAAACATTCCTTCCCTAATATGGTCATATGTGCCGAGCTCTGAAGCTGGAGAACTAAGAGACATCACATCTGTGCATTCCTGAAAAGAGGCCCCTTACTCTTTGGACACTACAGTATGTCTTCAGCCTACACTGTTGGCGTATCTTATTCTTCTTTGTGACCATGTTCGGCCAAGTTCTGTTGTAGAAATGCAACAGCGCCCCCTCTGGTCACAATATATGATGGTCGCAAAACATGGTGTAACACCGGCGGGAGCAGATTGTTGCATTCCAAAGTATATGGCACTGGTAACCCACTAGGGGGCACTGTCGGGACAGTCTGAAGCCATTCTATGGGACTGATAACTGCTAATAACGTCCATTTAATGGACTGATAACATCCGAAGTGGGTGATCATTTTGGGAAAGCAAACACAACTTGGACTTTTCTCACACTGTGTTACGTTACAACCACACATTTCAACACAAAGTAGTGCACAACTGTGAAGTGAAGGGAAAATTGTACGTAGTTTCCAAAATGTTGAAACCACGTTTAGCAACACATCCAACTACCAGTCCTTTGGGGTTTGTTTCGACCAGATTTGGACAACTAGAGATGGAAATTTTAGCCAACAGCTTCAGCTCAGTCAGGATGGAGTGTGTCTGAATGGCAGTTTTCAAGTGTAGTTCTGGTCTTTGACTGGTCAGAGTTGTAAACACTTTAATTCACTTAAGTAGAAACTTTCTATGCTTTACTGAAGTAATCATTTTCCAGCAGACTTTTTACTATTCCTTACATTTTCACACGGTTAGCCTAACCAGCTAGCCTAACCCTAATTATCTGTACTTTCTACTCCTTATGTTTAAAAAAAAATAAAGGAATACAAAGTCATTACTCCTATTTCATTCTTATTATTGTTAAAAAAAGATAAAAACCTACCTAGATACTACAGTATGTAGTCTGTATGAAAATGAGTGTGAAACAGGAAGCCTACTCTGTCCTTAATATTTAACATTTTATATACATTATGGTCATTATGGCCTTTAGAAAAGTGTGTTTTTAGGAAGGTCACATCCCAATGAATGTCCTTTTGTATATTTTAATCCAGGAGTGTCAAATTCATTTTCACTGATGGCCACAAGAGCATTTCATGTTTAACTTTGACTAAACAGAAAATATCACGTTCCTTGTTTCATTGCTACCACTAACAAACAATAACTGAGCTCTACCTGGTAGTTCCTGCATAGAAACAGTGTCAACACGTCCTCATATAAACACTGAGAAGTACTACATGACTGACTGCATGTGAAATAAATACTACAGAAATACTATTAAATTTAAATTATATTGAATTTACTGTTGACCCACTGTCCAACCGGGAATTCCCACATATAATCAGCATGCATTATGGGAGATGTAGTTTATGATCAATGTTGGCTTTAAAGCAGTTTATTCTGAGAGCTGTTCAACTAATACCAGATCAATGAGTACTGTATATTTAGGAGAATGATAAAGAATAATTTACTGGAGAAATATGTAAATGTGTGAAATGTTCAAGGAGTTAAACCTTTATTTTCCTTTTTTTAAATAAACTAAAGATTATTTTTGATTGAATTTATTTATTTAAGAAAAGGGGCAGATATAATAAGATTTAATCTTCTTCTGCTATAATTTCATTTATGATTTGTATTTTCTGCTGTATGTTGAATTTATGTTGTTGTTTTTTAAAGAAATGAATAAACTAACTAAAAAACAACCTAAACTAAAACAATCAATGGGCCACAGTTACTCAAAACCAACAGACGAGAAATACTATCCTTCACCTTTTAAATGGGTTTGTTTTGTTATATTGGGTCATAAATTCAAAATTTACCATTGATATAAAAACTATTTTAATTTAAAATAAATAAATAAATAAAATGGGGTGGGGGGTGCCTTTTGGCGGGCCGGACGGAAATCACCTGTGGGCCGCTTTTGGCCTGCGGGCCTTGAATTTGACTGTCGGTAGCTCCTCCAGAGTTCAGGCTCTTTACATTGTGTAGAGTTCCTGCAGAAACACCCACCTTCTTCTCCATGTGGATGACATGCAGGACGTGACCCAGGTACACCAGCTTGGGCGTGGCCAAGGCGATGATCTGCAGCACCCAGAAGCGGACGTGGGAGATGGGGAAGGCCAGGTCGTAGCAGACGTTCTCACAGCCGGGCTGCTGGGTGTTGCAGACGAAGCCGGACTGCTCGTCCCCCCACACCTGGCTCAAAGGCAGAGGAAGCTGCAGACTCACACCAGAAACTTTAAACTGTCAGAACAGAGTTTGGTTTTGTTACATGAGCAGACCTTCTCAGCACCGGTTTGCAGAACCATGATCCGGAAGATGAACAGAACTGTGAGCCAGATTTTTCCAATGACGGTGGAGTGGCTCTGAACTTTGTCCAGCAGCCGGCCCAGAAGGTCCCATTCTCCCATAACGGTCCTGCTGTCTGTCCAGTAAACACAAACAAAATGAAACAGACAGAACAAAGACCGTTTTCATTTATTTGTCAAAAAATAACAAAAAACATAAAAAGGACCCATTTTAATT